CTCCCAGAGAGCTGAGATTACAGGGCTAAACCACCATTCCTACCAACAAAGCCATTTTATTTTATCATTTAATTTAATTTTGTCTTTTTGAGATAGGATCTATGCTATTCAGGCTGGCCTTGAGCTCACTTTGTAGCCCAGGCTGGTCTCAACCTTGCAATGATCCTCCTGCCTCAGTTTTCTCAGTGCTGGGATTACAGGTGTGTGCCACCATGTATGGCTCACAAAAGCATTTTAAAAAGAAAAGTCTGGTTAAACAGATGTCTATGTAGTACGAAAAAAGAAACTATTGTACTCCAAAGAATGTACTTGCTTTCAAAATTCTTCTGACAACAAAATTTTATTGGTTATTATATTAGAAAGTATCTCTGAGGGTTGGCCAGGTAGCTCAGCAGATTAAAGCACCTGCTTAGGCCTACGCAGGGGACGGCGGTTCAATCCCCGTCCTGCTGTGCTTCCGTGTCTCTGCGGTGCTGAGTAATTGAGACTGGGCATGGTGGTGTGAGCCTGTAATCCCAGTATTTGGGAGGCTGAAAACAGGAGGATCACTACAAGTCCAATCTGTGTAGTGAGACCCTGTAGACCCTAAACTAAATATATATAATAAAAAGAATTTCTGAAATTACAAATAATTATACATTTAAATTATACTGACATTGTAGCACATTTTTGCAATTCCTGACTTTATATTGGATATATTACTAGTAAAATGTAACTTATAGAATTTTACCTTGCATTGTAACACTTAAAAAGTTAGGCCTTTATATTTCTACTATTGCCTTTTTTCTGTCAGCAGAAACTACAGCTTTGCCCTTCTAACTCTTTTCTATCAATAGAAACTATAACCTTGCCCTTAGAATGGTACAATAAATTTAAAACAAGGATCTGTAGCTGAATGTGATGGCACACACCTGTAATTCCAGCAATTTGGAAGACTTAGAAGGATGACAGAGTTTAAGGCCTGCCTGTGTAACTTTGCCAAGCCCTGTCTCAAAAAAATAAACAGGGCTGTGTAAGTAGCTTAGTGGTAGAGTGCCTCTGGGTCTGATCCCTCCTACCTAGTACGCCCTCCACCCACACACACCAAAAAGGTGCTACACCTGTAAATATCAAAATCAAGAACAAAGAAGATAAGTTAGGCTAACCCATGGCCTAGAATGGAAAATCCCAATGGAAGTTTGGGAGGCAACAGGAAAAGTGAAGATAAAAATTATATGGCAAACACAGAATCATAAATCAAGTTGTAATCTGAGTTACCAGCAAAATAAAAGTACTGGCCCAACTAGGTCATGAGCATATAAATGTTTGTAATGTAAAATCAAGCTAAATGTGTTAAATCAAACACTGACAGCAGACTTAAAATTGTAAGCATCAACTGTAAACATACTCAGGTAACATATCTACTATCTTTGACGCATTAACAAGTTTCTGGCATAGATCACCATCTATCTAGGAATATATAGAGGTAGCAACTTCATTTTAGAGTGAACAATGAAAGGTGGTAAATTACTTTCTGCCAGACCAGACAAAAGAGAATATCCAGTCCTATCTGACTCAGAAAGCAATTCAGAAAAACAGTATTATATGCCTAGAGATATAAAAACAAAAATACAGTTTAGAAATAACATTTCACAAGATAATCCAAACTGGAGATGTTGCTCCATAAAGCCTGTCCTGGCCTAACGGCTTCCTGTGTGAGATTATTGCGCTTTTGTTTAAAAAAAAAAAAAAAAAAAAATCTGCTTGCCCATCTATGCGAGTCTTAAGAATGTTGTTCTTCCAACATTTATTTCTTTCTCTGAATCCAGACCTCAGTGTCTTCATTTGTATCTTTTTAATGAGTAATTAATGTTTTCTACCATTCTCCTTAGATATCCATACTGTAAGGGAGGAATAATCATTGAATCTCAATCTTCAATGAGTTAAGCCTATTAGAGTTTTGAGTTCTCTTTTATTTTATTTTAATATTTATTCATTTTATTTACTTATTCATTTATTTATGGTGGTACCAGGGATCAAATTCAGGACCTTGTACTCGCCAGGCAAGCACTCATTCCACTGAGCTATCTCCCCGGCCCCTATCCCTTTTATTTTACAAGCAGGTAAGCAAGTGTGGTTTTGTACTTGCCTTAAAAGCAACTGGAAAGAAAAACAAAAAAAAATATTTTAAAAAAAGAAATAACTGGAATCTCTGCATTTACTTCTTCTCATTTTAATATATGCCCCTTCCCCCCAAAAAAACCCTTGAATTACAACTGAAAGTAAACTGTAATAGGTCCTCTTGAAAAGTCACCAGAACTCAGAGGAAAGAAAAACTACTGTAAACTATCTAGTATTTGGGGTGGCAGTGGCATATAAAAGAGGTTTGAAGGATGAGCACTCAACACAGAAAGGACAGGAGTCTTCAGTACAGATAGGAACAGCTGAGTCCAGTGTGTCACAATGTGTAACCAGACCACCACACCAGACTATGGCAAAAGACAGCTCATAAAAATACAAAGAAAAATTATCATGAAGTAATACTCACCCTGGCATTTTATAAGGTACCGACATTAAAGCCTCATCTTGCTTTTATATTTACAAACACTGGAAATCATTTTTTATCTACAGGAGTCACAAACTGAAAAAGTGAGTCTGAGATCACATTGTAAGGAACACTAAAGCCCAGGTACCTCACTCTTGATCATATTCTGCACATGAGGACTTAAAAGCATTTGAAAAGGGAACTGAAGGGTTGTAGGTGTAGAAGATTAAATGAAATAAAGGGCAGGAGCAAAAAGAGGCTTGGCAATGCTAGGAGTGGCGTGCTTGCAAAAAAAAAAAAAAAAAGACAAGTAAAATAAGGTGGTAGCTATTTGCATGTGGGGTTCAAGGTAGGAGGCAGAATTAGCATGGCCTCAAGAACAAATAACTAAAAGTGGGCGTGGGGGGCAGAGAACAGGGCAAGATGACAGTGAATTAGCTTAAGTAATCACGGTTCTTGCTGGAAATGTCTGCATCAGATCCACATATATGATACCTTTCATGTGCTAGGAACTGCTTCTAGGCACTCAGGACAGAGTAGCAAACCCAAATGGGAAGCACTGCTAAGCTACTTATTCTTTAGTAGTAGACAACTGATAATGAGTAACTATATAAACAAGTAAATACATATTATAGGAAGTGTGGGGTTGTATGCAATTTCAAGTAGGTAACATCTGAACAAATACCCAGAGGTGAGGGAGTGAGCTCTGCAAAAGGCTGGGTAAGCATCAGCAACTAACACATCTGTATCTCAAAATAATTTCACTCCACAATGTTTTTGAAGATAGCAACAACATTGCAACATACTTCTTCAGGTCCCAGTCCTATTTCCCTGGGCCTGCCTTTAGGTTCCACTTCCTGGCTCTATCCTACTCAATCAAGAAGACCTCACCAGTAACAGTGATGATAAACTGCCAAGTAGGTCAACTGGTTTATACTAGCTGTTTACTTTTGTGTAGATGGGACTAAAGGGGTGCATTTTAAACAACAAAACCAAAGCACTGCTAGAACATGTTTGCACAAAGCTTCAGAAGACAATCATCTTGTTCTCAAAGCAGTAATTTGACGTAGCAACCTTGAGACTTGTGATTTAAATCAAAGGTGCTGAAGAATGATTATGAATCATGCAATTAAGCTACCAAGGAGGATAATGCTGAGAGAAAACCACTCATGACACCATAAAACTGTCTAAAACAAAAACAGTAACTATTATTAAGAGTAGAGGTAATATCTTCCTTTGATTTTATAACCTGTTGATCATCAGAGATCAATCTCTGACAGTTATTGATTCTGTCTTTGGCCTCAACTTTATCTGTAAAATCTAGCTAGTCTGATTTTTCAGATCCCTTTCAGTTCCCAGGTTCTATACAACAAGCTATGGGTTCCTGTGATTTTTTTTTAAATTAACATGTGTTGGGCACTATGGTTTACCTAGTCTTGCAATGTAAGCACCTGTCCTGAACAGCACAATTTATAAATTCTATAAAGTGATAAATCTACCTCAACTTGGTGCTTAAAATGAGGCCACATTCATCCTAAGGGCACTGGCTTTTTTTCATCTCTCGTAGAACAGCTCTGAAGTCAGGTGGGATGGAGGTGTAGCTCCATAGTGAAAGGTCTGCCTACTATGAGTGAAGCCTTGGAATTGATCTCCACCAACAGACACAAAAACAACTCAGCAACAACAGACTCCTGGGTCTGTAGCATTTGAGAGCATATTTGATTTGGAACAAGGTGGAGGATCTTATGAGGTAATACACTTAGTATGACAGAAAACTAGAAAGCCTTTTCTAGTCTACAATTGTAAAAACACTTCCAAAGAAAGCATTTTTTGTAACAGCTGAGGAAAAAGCATGGGTATTCCAATGAGGACAACTCTGGAGATTAATGCTCACAGGAATGCATAACAGAGAAAATGGCCAACATTTATTGTGGTCAAGCACTAGATATCAATTCTATCTTCACAACAACCCTGTAAGGTCAGAACTGCCATTTTATGGATGTGAAGACTAAGACATATAGAAATTAAGCAAACTGTCCACGTTTTTTACACTGAATTAGTACATCCCAATCCAGGCATTCCAACTTCAAAGCCAATAGGCTTGTTTGGCGTGGTGGCATACACCTGTAATCCCACACTCTAGGAGGCTGAGGCAGGAGGTTGAAAAATTCGAGTCCAGACTGAGCAATGTAGCAACTTCGAGAAAGACTGTCTCAAAATAAACATTTCAAAATATGGATGGGGATGTAACTCGGCGCGAAGGGTGCCGGGTTCAAAACACAGACGGGAAAGAAGAGCTGGAGAACTTAACTGTCTTGATACAACCCCTACAGAAAACCCTAGCGTCTTTAAGGCGCAGCCCCATTACCATTAGCACCCTTCTCGCCAAGCTCAACAGAAAGGCAGTCCCGCAAGCTATTTTCTCCTCCAGTCCTGGGGCACGCGCTACCAATACAATTTTTGAATCTGATCATACCTGAGGTTGCTCAAGATTTGGGGAGGGAAGGTGTGCGGAACAACTCCAAAGGCCCTCGGTCCGGAAGCACGTGCAGGCAGCAAGCGCGCAGGCTGCACGCGCCGCCGCGGGGGCTCAGCGGCCCCTACCCGAGGCTCCTCCCGGCGCGGAAGTCGCACCTGGCCCGCGCGTCCTAACCTCCCCACCCCGGACGCGCCCGCAGGTTTCCTCCACCTGCACGGCGCGGAGCCCACCCGCCACGGGGCTCCCGGGCGCCAGCTGGGCCGGCCACTCGCTCACCTCGGGGGAGCCGGTCCGCGGGAGCCACAAGCCACCTACCCGAGTTACGCCACCCGGTCCCCACCTCCAGGTCCCGCCCAAACAGCATGCCCCGCCCCCACCAAATCACCGCGCGGCCCTAGTGGGGTGGGGCCGCCTCGCTCAGCCCCGCCCTCGCAGCCCGGGGCCGCAGGGTCCGCGGCGCAGAGCAACCTCGGAGCCCGGGCAGCCACAATCTTGGGGGGCGGAGGGAGCCTGGGGGTGTGTGCTCCGAGGAAAGCAGGATTGGGCCAAGGAAATGGGAGTAGGGAGGGAGGGAACATGAATGTCCATCAGAGTTGTTCTTTCAGGAGCCGTACCCAGAACATGCAAACTTTTAGAAAAACCAAGGATCTCTGGCATCAAACTTCATCTAAACTCCCCTTTCTGACTTTCCAGTGTATAATGATAATGATGTCACTCTTGTTCTGGCTCAAAACTTTTGAATCTTCTTCCCTCTCAATCTTCACACGTGGTCACCAAGTCTTTAAGCTTTCTCCTTTACAAAGTCTCCTCAATGACTCTTATTTTTGCTATATCTCTGTATAAATTCAGAAAACACAGGACCTTCCATCTGGCTCTGACCTACTTTTCCACTTAATTTCCAACTACTCTGTTTTGTACACTCCAGTTAGCCTCTCTTCTCACTGTATACACACATAACGCTATATAATATACAGCTATATGGCAACATGCATACACAACATACAGGCAAAATTCTTGCCATTATACATGCCTACACACTGCTCCCATCTACCTCAGGATAGCTTCTTCTGGGTCCCAGCTTCCTGTCCTGAAACAATTGCCCACCTACGATGCCCCTCTACATAATAAAACTCCACAATACTTGGGGCCTACACCACTCAATCCAGAACCTAGCAGGGACATCTTCTTTTGTTTTCTATTATTTAGAATATTTATAAACTATACTACTTATTAAATGCCCCCAAGCTCCATACAATCCACCAACAGAAATCGTTTTTTGCTGAGCATGGTGAGACATTCCTATAATCTAAGTATTTGGAAGACTTGGGAAGGAGAATTGTGAATTCAACACCATACTAGGCTATACAGCAAATTCAAGGCTGGCATAGGCTATATAGCAAGACCGTGCTCCAGCCCTTAAGTTAAGTTCTATGTTAAAGTTCTACATTAAAAAAATAATATCGGGGCTGGTGAGATGGCTCAGTGGTCTAAAGCACCTACTTAGAACAAGCTTAGCAGGGGGCCTGGCCCTAGCTCAGGCCTTTAAGTGGCTGCTTCCACAAAGCTGTCAGCCTCAGGTTGCTGGAGTTC